CCTGCCTCTGAGCTTGCAGTTTGAAACATTGTTACAAATATAGAAGCTAAACAAACTCCAGAAACCTGCTTTCAGCCAGCCGAGATCTCAGAGCTGGAGTTGAAACAGTGTTTCGATGATAGAACCTAAACACGCCAGATACCTGCTTTCAGCAGCTGAGGCCTAAGAGCTGGAGCCCAGCCTCAGAGCTAAAGCTGGCCCAGAATTAAAAAAAGAAAAAAGAAAAAAAGGAGCGGTTGGGAGCTTCAGTCACCCGCCAGCCTGAAAAGAGCCCTCAGCCCCTCACCCAGACTGGCCAGGCACCCCACTGTGGACCACAACCATGATCCAGGACACCCTTCAGGGCAAATCAGCCGGCCCCCACCCATGCACTGGGCCTCTATCCTATATAGTAAAAGGGTAATATGCCTCCCAGCACCGGGATCAGTGGAGCCGCGAGGTCTCCAGGCAATGGGATCAGCATGACAGGGGGCAGCGCCCAAACCCCCTGATTGCCGTGCTCTGTTTGTGACAGGGGAAGGTGCCCCAACCCCCTGATAAGCCCTGTTCTGTGCCTGTTAGGGGGGGCTCCCCAACCGCCTGATCACCCTGTGGCTCTGTGTGTAACAGGGTGCGGCGCCCCAACCCCCTGATCGGCCCCGCTCTGTGTGTGACAGGGTGCAGCGCCCAAACCCCACTCCCCCACGGGCCCTGCTCTGTGTGTGACAGGGTAGAGCCATAACCTCCCCATCGGAGCTGCCCTGATTGTGACAGGGTGTGGCGCCCCAACCCCCTGAACCGCCCTGCTCTGTGCATGACAGGGGGCAGCACTCCAACTCCCCAATCAGCCCTGCTCTGAGCCCGACCAGGGCCTGCACCTAGGGATTGGTCCTGCCCTCTGCCACCCGGGAGCAGGCCTAAGCCAGCAGGTCCTTATCTCTCGAGGGGTCCCAGACAGCAAGAGGGCACAGGCCGGGCTAAGGGACCCCCCCATCTCCCCCGAGTGCACAAATTTTTGTGCACCGGGCCTCTAGTCTATACTAATAAAAGAGTAATATGCTAATTAGACCGGACATCTTCCACAGGACTGTCCTGACAAAGCAGGGGACTTGGATGGCCTGTAAACTACCCCAGGACCCTTGCCTAGGCCAGCCCCACCCCCAGCACGGGCCCCCCACCCTGATTGGAGATGAGGTCAGCTTGCAAACCACCTAGGCCCCTCACCCAGGCCAGCTCCGCCCCCAGTGGGGACCCCAACCCAATTGGGATTGTGGCTGGCCTGAAAACTACCCTCAGCCCCTCACCCAGACCAGTCCCGCCGCCAAGCAGGGACCCCCACCCCAATTGGGGGCATGGTCAGCCTGCAAACTGCCCCAGACCCCTCGCCCAGGTAAACCCTGCCCCCATTGGGGACCTCCACTCAGTTTGGGGGCAGGGCCAGCTTGCAAACCCCACAGCCCCTGGCCCAGTGGCCCTTCCACCCTGCAGGCTTCCCCCACCCTGATCCAGTCTTCCTTTGGCCAGTGATGTTCAGTAGTTAGAGCATTGTCCTTTGCACCAAAAGCTTTAGGGTTTGGTTCCTAGTCAAGGGCAAGTACCAGGGTTTTATATTCACTCCCTTCCCCTGGTTGGGGAGCATTTGAGAGGCAGTCAGTGGATGTATTTCTCACATAGATGTTTCTCTCTCTCTCTCTCTCTCTCTCTCTCTATCTCCTCTCCCGCTTCCTCTCCCGCTTCCTACCTCCCATTCTTCTACTCTCTCTGAAAAGCAATAGAAAACTATCTTCAGGTCAATATTAAAATTTTCTCTATATAAAAGCCCAACAACCGGAACAACTGGACGACTATCCTGTAGCTATGATGCGAACTGACCCAGACCTTGCAGCTGGGGCCCTGACATCCTCAAATCTGGTTCACCCTCACCCCGGACCCAGACAGGAGGGAGGAGGGAGCCTGATTCCTCATGGAATTGGCTGTGCCTTAACCGTGCCTTGCTTGCTGCTGGCAATAAGGGGGGGCTGGCTGGCCAACTTCCCAAGGTCCCTCTCTCCTGCAAGTCGCACCCCCCCCATTGGTCCCAATCACCGAGGGACCCCACCTGAGTACGACTTTGTACACCAGGTCTCTAGTAAACAAACAAAGAAATAAATAAATAAACTTCAGAAAAGCAAAACATTGCATTGGTAAAAGAATGAAATGCTATAAAAAATGACAGGATATAAGAGAACACTATCAATTAAAAACTAGATAAACAAAACAGAATTATAAAGTATTGGTGGCCCTAGCCAATTTGGTTCAGTGGATAGAGCATTGGCCTGCGGACCGAAGGGTCCCGTGCTTGATTCTGGTTAAGGGCACACGCCCAGGTTGCGGGCTCAATCCCCAGTAGGGGTCGTGCAGAAAGCAGCTGATAAATGATTATCTTTTATCATTGATGTTTCTATTTTTCCATTCCTCTCTGAAATCAATAAAAACTTTTAAAAAAGGAGGTTGGTGAACAAAGTCAAGGAAACCTCCAGAAAGCAGAAAAAGACAAAATGGGAAATAAGAGGGGGGAAATATTTAGAGATTTGTCCAGGAATACTGGTCTAAGAGTTCCAATGTCTGAGTAATGGGAATGTTAGGAAAAAGAAGGAATAAAGAATGTATAAAAGAAACAAAAATATCCCCTGAAAGTAGATAAGACCTGGAGTCTTGATGGCCACAATAAAATGAAAAGGTGCATACCAAAACATAACATCAAATTTCAGAATCCCAGGAATGGATTAGCTTCTAAACATTTCCAGAGAAGAAAGGGTGGAGGAAATTACTGAAATTGCAAATATACAATGTATCATACATTGCCAATATATTTGAGAGCAACACTATAATGAGAAGAGAAAACAGTAGAAATGTCTTTGGAACTGCAAAAATTAATTTCAACCTAGAATTCTCTGTTTTGTTAAGTAGGAGGCATTTCAGAGAGGCTAGATCTTCAAACAATTTCTGCCCATGTATCCTTTCCCAGGAAAAAGTGCTTCAGTGAAACAAAGGAGAATAACAATACGGAGGAAAACATAAACACGGGCAAAGATTTTCAACCAGTGTACCACCCCAGCACACTGGTGTGCGGCAAGAATTGTTTACAAAATGCAATTCCTGACTATTTGGGCAGGGGCACTGACCTTTTCCCTTACATTGTCAAAAAACAAAATGACAACAACCAAGACCACAATAGATGCCAAGAGTGAATGAATCACAATTATACTTTTTTTTTTTAGATTGGTAAAACACATATTTTTTTAGTGTGTCACAGAATTTTAGTCATTAGTTTATGCATGCCATGAGATGAAAAAGGTTGAAAATCGCTGATCTAAGAAATCGGGGATCCAACATAAGAGAACAGTATGTGAGATCTCAGATGACTTTAAAGAAATATGCTTAAACGCAGACACAGAGCAGGCCTTCAGAAAACAAGTGCATAGTAGAGGAGGATAACAAAAGGCTAGGGAGATGGCTTCCAATAAGAAATGGAACAAATGTGGTCAGTACGTGGAAAATATTTTTGACAGGCCTGTGACAAATGTCACAGCATGTTCGGGAAAAAAATAGAAAAGAAGAAGTGAATACACTAAAAAAATTAATTCCACTACATAAAAATGAAAACTTACTAGATATTATGTTAATGTAGTATAAATGTAGAGTTTTTACCAACAGTCATCTTTCTCTGCCAAGTTACTAGATTGTTAGATATAAAGCAGTTATTTCTGAAATCAGAGAGACCAGCCTACCTGCTGCCTTTGACTATGTGAGATCATGTTGATGAGAAAGAGGGGTTTGGATTATTCTGAAGAAGTGTAGCAGTGCTCAAATTTCAGTAATCCAGGGGGTCCCAAAAATGAATACACATTTTAACAGGTGATAACTCAATTTTCACTCCTTTTCAGGTTGAATTGATTCAAAATAATAGGTAAAGTCAGACTATGCTTTGAATAAAGAAAACTTATTCTAATCTCTGACTAGACTTTTTTTAATGGGGAGAGAGAAAACTAGGAATAGGTGACAAACTGAGGGCACACAAATATTGACTAAAATATTAATTCTTGACATTTGCAATTCCACTGCTTAGTTTTGTTAGCAGTGCCTGGACCAGAATGGTCATCAGTTTGAAAACAGGTATTCACAAAATTATTCACTTCTGAAGATTCTTTCAAATTTTGAAAATGAACTATCCTATATAACAAAAGCCTAATGTGCAAAACGACCAAACGGTGGAATGACTGGTCGCTATGATGTGCACTGACTAGCGGGGGGCAGGTGCTCAATGCAGTAGCTGCACCCTGGTGGTGAGTGCACTCCCACAATGGCTTGGCGGCTCACACAGCGGGCCTATCCCCACAGGCCTCACCCCCCACCAGGGCCTGAATCACATGCACGGGGCCTCAAGTAAGGTAATAAACACCAACATAATCATGCAGAGTGCGTATACATTTTTTGATCAAAAGAATGAAGGGTATAGAAGAAAAGGCACAGCCAGAGAACTAGAGGGCTCAACGGTAACAAACATTTGCATAGTCATGATAACAGAAACACTGATTCAGATTTACTAACAACCATGATATATGTTGGGAGAACAGAAGGAGGGAAAGAAGACCACACTGGAGGGAGAAAGCTAAGCTTTCAGCTGCTAAAACAATAAGTCAATAGATAACACAAAAATTGCCTTAGCTATTATATGGTTGTTACTTTTGTTAAAAAACAAAATTAAAAGTTAAGGCACAAAATTAAGGTAGATCTTTATATCACAACCATGTTACTGACATTTAACTTAAAGGTCAGAACCCCTTAAAAATGACCATTACTAAGGCAAAACTTTCCTGAATATGTAAACTTGTTAATTAAGGTAACAGAAGTGATTAAGAAAATCTTCCAAAACACGTTTATGCTAATGATACTGGACTCATAATAGATTTTTAACAATTATGGCAGACAATTTTTAATTCAAATTATTTTCTTACATAACTTTTCGAGTATGTACTTACGTGGTAGAAATAGTTGTTCTTCCTCTTTTCTCCCACTAAGAATACAAAGAATGAACTGATCAATACTGATACAAATGCCACAGAAAAACATAAGTTACTGATTACCTGAAAGATTACTAATATACAAAACTAGAGGCCCAGTAAAGGAATTCGTGCACAGGTGGAGTCTGGCTGGCCAGGCCCCAATCAGGACAGATGTGGGCGGGCCTGTTGAGAGGAGGAAATGGCAGAAGGTTGGCAGGCCAGCCTGAGCTGACTGGGGCCTGATTAGGGCCAAGCTGGCTGCAGGGAGGGGCCATGGGTGATTGGCCAGAAGGCCCACCCCCAGTTGGGGTGGGGGAGGCAGATTGAGGGTGGGGCCAGCTGTGGGGAGGGGCTGGATGTGTGGGGGGCGGTGATCAGGGGCAGAGCTGGCTGTGGGGAGGCGCCACGGGTGATCAGGGTGGTGGTGGGTGATCAGGAGTGGGCTGGCTGGGGATTAGAGCTGCAGGAGGTTGGCTGGCCAGCTCCGTTTTATTGGGGAGGAGGAGCAATCAGGGGCAGGACCATCCTGGGGGAGGAGCTGCGGGCCACTGGGAGTGGTGGGGGCCCAGCAGGAGTGGTGCCGGCCTGGGGTAGGGGCTGCAGGAGGTTGGCCAGCCAGCCCCCCCACAATCCGGTCAGTTCACTGGCCACAGTGGGCGTCAAAATGACTGGCCTGATCCCACCCGTGATGGTGTTCTAGTCGCTGGCTTTTTATATATATAGATAAGACCAAATTTTATTCCATTTCTTTTATAACTTCCAACAAAATTTAAAATTTAAAACACCTGGCAAGATGAGTCCCATAAGCAGTATCTTAAAACTAAGTTTTACACTTTTGACCTAATGGATATTCTGTTTTCGGTACAAATAAAAGTCTCTCATGTCCAGAAGGAAAGGGCAAAGGGCAAAGCCAGGGGAGAAACTTGGCTAATGAAAAAGCTTATCTGTTGTGCCTCTGAGCCACTACTCAGTCGTAGTTTCCAATTCTACACGGATACCCTCTGTACTTGACCCACCAGGATCTAACAGTTGAGGGCTCTAAGAACCAGTTTCTGGCCAGGCACCTGCAAGCATCCTGAACCAATTAGGTAACCACCTAGAATATCTTACTAAGAAATTAAATGCATCTCTACTCAACTGCAAAGTAACCTATCCAATTTAAACTTTAAAATAATGCGGCTAACCTAAGTAACAAGTGTACAACACACAAAATCGTTTTGCTCTAATAAAGATCTGAAGAAAAATAAAAGCTCCAAAGAGGGTCTTGGGCTGAACTCTGTTTCCCTCTCTGCCTCCTTTAACGTGGGAGGGGCATCATAGGCACACATTCCTTAGGACTGAGGAGAGGGGCATGGGATAACACTTCCTTTACTCTCTCACTCTCTCTCTACAGGTGAGCAGCCCCTGGCTCTGGAAGAAACTGAGAAATGCAGCAATCCTAAGCAAAATGATCAGCTCCAGACAGTCATGCACACATGCCATGAAAACGCATGTTAAAACCCCCACTTTGTATTGAGCTGCATGGATTCAAATAAAATGGACCCTTCCCTGCCTGTACTTCTGCTGTCACAATCAACTGAGACTCGATCCTCGTGCCTTTTTAAGCAAGTAAACTCGATTGAACATAACATTAAGGAAATAAGCAGGCAAGCAGAAGCATTAAAGTATTACAGTTCTAGTTCTTATCCTAAAACAAACAGGACACAGGAAATTGACCTAGTTGCACGTGCTCCTGCTAGGCTTCTGGGTACCCCATAGGGCTCTGTTCCTCTGAGGTACTCTGGCAGCATTACATAGGGGAGAGAGTTTGAATAGCTTCAAATTCTAATGTGGGACAGGATTCTTTGCTTGAGCACTATGTAAGATCACAAATTCAATCCTCATATGTAAACAACTGAAATGTTTTTTATTTGTTCAAACAAAAACCTGTGACCTCAATCCTATCTTGACTTACCAATCATTTGACATTTCTTCCGGAAAATTGTGCCAGCCCCAGGATGGCCAGAAGGGATTAAACCTGAAGGAAGAAGACAAAAGGCATACAATTTTGTTGAGTAGAAAAATTGGTGGAGGAAAAAAATGGCGGAGGTTTAGATGGACGTGTTGGTGCTTTGTCCCGGAGCAGATAAGGCCAAGCAGCTAAAACGGGTAACATACAGCCTGAACAAAGAGAGGAGATTCAGCTGAGAAACAGTTTGCAGCCAGGAAAGACAGAGAACTCCTAGAAAATGGGGATGGTTAGAGATTGTGGCTGATACCTCCCCTTGGGCGACAGCTCAGCGGCGAGACTGTACCATCTTGAGCAGCTGTTATCCGCATCCAGAGATTGGCTACTAACCAGGAAAGACAGAGAACTCCTAGAAAATGGGACTACATGAACTCAGAGGAGAACTGCTTCCCTCCACGGAAAGGTTAGACTCCCCCCAAAGGTGCAGTTTGCAATTCAGGTTGGAGCGAGGAACGCGCATGTGCGCGGGGGAAAATCTGCGCCCCACAGTGTCCGCGCCCATTGAGGCCAGCGTGACCCGCAAGTGGGAAGGGCTCCCGCAGGGCTACTCAAAGAAGGTAACACTATAAATAAGCCCATAGTTGGACTGGATGCAAAGGGGCAGCCTCAGAATCTTCCAGCCGGCCTGCTACTTGGTGCCAGGGGCCAGAGCGCGCGCAGAGACTCTGCGAAAATCTGGAAGGTAGAGCCCAGCGAGTTCGCACAGCTTCCCAGGCTCTTGTTTACACACTTCCTCTTAAATCTGTGAGTTTGATTGTTGAGCCCAGTGCATGGGATTGCCGAGTTGGGGTCGCTAGCGGAGCCTGTAGGGGAAGATTGTTTTTGGGGAGCCTGGGAAACAGAGCTGGGAGTGGCGCCTGGGGAGCCAGCTCTGGGTGGAGCTGGTTCAGGTACAATAGAGAACTCCTAGTCAGAGAGGACATATAGCCTTGGAGGTCAATCCAGACACACTGCCACCCAGAGGCAGAGCCACGAATTGACTCTTCTGTAAATACAGATAAGGCAGTATGGGAGACCAATACAGCCTGCCTTAAAATCAGGACTGTGGCTTACAACACGGAGGAACAGTGTATCAGAGGGAAATTCAACATTCTCCTGAATTCCGCGCATGCCAACAAGAAGAGTAGAAGATCTGAAGCACCTACATTACTGCACATTTTTATTTTTATTTTTTTAAATTACTTTTTCACCTTTTAACTAAGAAAACATTTTTTCCCCTTTTTCTCTTTTTTTTCTTCTTTTTTTTCCCATCACCTGATTTTACCCTGTCAATTACTACATTTTTATTTTTAACTAGTATTATTACTGCTACCATTTTACCATTTTTTAAAGTGTCATTTTATTTTGTCTTTATTTTATTTTGGAACTATTGTTCTCCATTCTATTCTCATCGTCCCTTTAGCAACATTTCTCTCTACCTCAATTTTGCCTCTGTGCTAAAACCCTCTTCCCCACTTTTTCCCTTTTGTTGTCCTGTTTCTCTTACCCTACTCCAGCTTTAGATTTTCCCTATTCTTTTTACCCCCTGTCAAAATTTCACCCTACTTATATATCCTTTGTCCAATCCCCTGCTCTAAATCTTATACACCTTTCCCTTATCTTCCTTCACTATCCAAAATTTTTTCTTCTTCTTCTTCTTCTTCTTCTTTTCTCTCTCTATTGTTTTATTGTTGTTTGCTTGATTGACGAGTATATTGGGGTTATTTTTAGGATTGCTTTTGAGGTTATTCTGCTTATTCTTTTTATTTTTCTGCCCCCCCACCCCCCGGTTATTTTGGTGCTTCTGTTTTCCCTTGCGTCGCTTGATATTATTGGTTGTTGGTAGTTGGTATTCATCTCCAGGAATCTGTTGCTGTAATTTTTTGGGATTAGTGGCGGTTCTATAGGAGTTTTCTCCTCATATAAATAGTCTCTTCCCCTTTTATACTTCATTCTCTTTTCTCTCTTACTTTTTTTTTCTTTTCCTCTTCTTTTTTCCCCTCCCTTTTTCCAATTTTATTTTTGCGCTCCTTTTTTTCTTTCTTTTTTCTCTTCTTTCTCTTTCTATTCTATCTTCCTTATCTCCTAACTCTCTTTGCTCGGGTGGCCACCTTTATTTGGGGTTATTAATATTGTAAATACATTCGTGTTCAGTGCCTGGTACATTGTGCCTTTGTTGTGTTGTATTTGGTGCCTTTAAAATAATGCAGCAGATGCCGAACCGGTTTGGCTCAGTGGATAGAGCGTCGGCCTGCGGACTCAAGGGTCCCAGGTTCGATTCCGGTCAAGGGCATGTACCTTGGTTGTGGGCACATTCCCACTGAGGGGCGTGCAGGAGGCAGCTGGTCGATGTTTCTCTCTCATCGATGTTTCTAACTCTCTATCTCTCTCCCTTCCTCTCTGTAAAAAATCAATAAAAATATATTTAAAAAATAAAATAAAATAAAATAAAATAAAATAAAATAAAATAATGCAGCAGATTCAAGCACGGCGGCCTCCTGATCACCACACGCTCTGTCTGGGGAACAGTTACTGTGTGTGAAACATCCCTCCACCAGCCAGAAGAGCTACCACAGCTGTGAACAGCACCCACCAGAGGCCCTGCTACCAACGGAGGAGCAGGTGCTACCACAACTGCCTAAGGAGCAACCACAGCCCAAGGAGCCACTGCCACCCAGGGAGCAGCCACTGCCACCCAGGGAGCAGCCACTGCCACCCAGGGAGCAGCCACTGAACAACTCAACAACTAGATATGTCAGTGAGATCAAACATGGGTAGACAAAGAAACCCCCAAAGAAAAGAAAAGGAGGACTCGCCAGAAAAGCAGCTAAGTGAGACAGAGGCATGCAACATGACGGAAAAAGAATTCAGAATAAGGGTCCTAGAGTACATGCACCGGACGGAGGAAAAAATCAATAACATATGCAAGAAGCTAGAAGAAACAGATGAAAAATTCAACAACTTAAGTAAGTCCTAAGAAGAAATGAAGAGCGACATAGCTGCAATAAAAAACACCATTGAAAG